TTTAAGCTTTGCCATGATACTGATAGGCAAATAATATTAAAATACAATTAACCTTTTTTGTGCACCAATCAAGAGTATTATCTTGGATATGCATTATCTTGACTACTCCTCACAATGACACTGTGAATATATTCTGTTATGCTTCAAAGTTGAGAATGCTGATGATCAAACTCACTCACAAGTGGTCAAGTATAGATATGTCTGCACACTTTGTATTATAAACATTGATGGTATCGGTGGATTACAGCATTTTTACTTCCCATCCTAATTTGCCCTTGTTTTAAATGTTTTACAGAGAGACCCTATAATTGCAAAGCAGCTCTTTGGCAGCTTGTTTTCTGGAATTTTAAAGGAGATGGATAAATTCAAGACCATGTCAGAAAGAAACAACATTACTAAAAAATTGCTCCAGGACTTCAATGATTTTCTTAATACCACTTATTCTTTCTTTCCACCTTTTGTCTCTTGTGTTCAGGTAAACATATGCACACATTCTATTGATAGAATATTCATTGTCTGTGTCAACTGAAGCCCTGGTGTCATAGCGGTTATGCTTTGGGCTGCTAACTTTAAGGTCAGAAGTTCGAAGCCACCAGTGACTCCAAGAGAGAAAGATGAGGTTTTCTACTCCCATAAAGAGTAATGATCTTGGAAACACAAGGGCACTTCTACCTTGCCCTATAAGATCACTATGAGTCTGAATCAACTCAGTGGCATTGAGTTTGTTGTTTTATTTTTGTTTGGTGTTTGCTTCATGTGACTATGTTCTTACAACTTTATTTGTATATCAAGTTCAAATTCTCCATAATGACAGGATGTTTGACAGATAATATTTACTTCTTCCCAAAAGGTACATGTAACTTATTTTAATTTTTCTTCAAAAAATATATGCAAGGCAAAATAATCTGAAATCAAATAGTGTACAGTGTTTTCTTTTGTAGTAAGCGAATAACTTCCTTGTGTAGTGTTTCTCAAAATTCTTTCCTGCCTCTTGACTGCCTTCAAGAGGTATTGACTTATTCACAGTGATGAAGTGAGTAAAGTACCTGACCTCATCCAGTTTATATTCTAGTGAGCGATTGATAATAAGCAGACATAAATATAGAGTTTAACCTCCGGTAGAATCATGTAGAGTGTTTGAGGAATAGTACTAGATAATGTAGGCTAGCTAGTGCCGTGGGAAGCACAGACCTGGGCCTGGTGGGTGTGGGCCACTATCTGCGTAGGGAGTCCTTCTTGAGGTAGAAAACTTCATGCAGGCCTACCTAGTTTTAGTTAAACATACTTATTGGAAGATGAATTTTTTCTGGAATATTTTGGGTTTTGTTTTTTTTTGTCAATCAAATCAGAAATTATTAGAAGTCCTTTAGAAAATAATTTTTATTCCGTTTTTCATTTTTCATAATGAGTAACCCCCTTGAAGTAATATAGTCAGTCATATTTTCTTTATTTAAAATTTTTTAAAATACTTTTATTGGGGCTCTTATATCACTTATCACAATCCATACATTCCTCCAATGTGTCAAGCACATTTGCACATATGCTGCCATCATCCTTTTCAAA